ATTAGTATAGCTTTCTCGTTGTAATTTACATCGAAACGGTGATAAAAAAATGTATTAAAAAAAACTGAACATATTTCGCATCATGTTGTCACGGTCACTGTTGTTGGTGAACAGGTTGGAAAGTATTGAATATAGAGTAGGAAATTTAGTTACTGATTGCTATCATAAACCGATTCTAAACAGAGTTCAGTGAATAGGTGGAGGTTATAGTGTTAGTCGTTTTTTCCATATATAACCAAGGTAACACAGACATCGACAAAAATTAAACTGATTATTATTGTTATTATTAAAAAAAAATTAATTAAGACAAAGTCGAAAAACCATCGAACGAAAAATCTAGATTATTTAATGTATGAAAAATATTTACTAGATAATTGAAAAAATGTTTTCTATGAAAAAACCGATAAAAAAAAACTATCTTGGGGATGAACTAATGAGAATTTATACCGAAAAGAACAGCGCAACGAATCGATAAGACGTTGAAATCTCCAGGTACATGCATTTTATTTTACGTTATTGAATGAGCCTTTTGAATTTTTTTTTTCCAAAACGATTATCGTTGATTTCTGGGTTCTTTGGTTACCACCCCCCCCTTCTCTCTAGTCTCGTCCCTGAGTTGCAGATTTGGACAGTAAAACATTTTTCACCTTACAACACCAGACAGGCCAGCGTGTGGCCTTCGGCTAATGAGCGAGTGTTGTTCAATTCGATTACACCCCGCATACGACCGGAACACAACATTACGATAGTATTATTATACACTACAAAATCTGCCGCTGCCGCCGTCGTTTTCGAAGAAAATCATAAAAGACACATTGGCGGTGGACTCATTTTCGGAGGGAATAATAATATTTTATTATGCTATATATACAGAGTGTCCTACGGAGATTTGACAAAAAAAAAAATGCAATTCACTTTGTTTTGTTCGATAGTTTTAAGTTTTCTTGGTTTTTAATTAGATAGCTAATAGTGCGTCACGCCATAATTTATGTACATTTTTTTATTTTTAAAATATCCAAAATGGCCATTTTATGAATAAATTTTGATGTTACAGATTGTTTATGCTAACGGTGTGTCTTTAAACGACTTTAAAACACTTTTTGAAGTTTACGATAATTAAAATTATTTACATTTCCACAACTATTACATAGTGCAATCGAATTCCGGAGAAATAGTACTCTGTAATAATACAATACTATTTGTTATTAGACATAGTTATTATAATTACGAATGGGTTACAGACATTTAAAAATGTTGTCGGATGAACTCCGAAAGCTAGAAAACTAGAAAACTAACGGCTTATAATAGTTAATAAATCATAGTTGACGTTATTGTAACGCCGACATTTTGTTTTGAAATACAAAAAGAATTGACTATGTCTGGACGCCCCCGTGAACGTCAACGAAATAAATGCGAATATTTCGAGATAGACATAGATTTTGCGACGGGAAATGTTTACATTTTTTTTTTTTTTATCGATTATCCTCATTGTGCCGGCGGTCTCTGAGAATGAGCGTTTGCACTCGGTGGAACGTAAGAACCCCCGAGGCTGTGCGCGGCACAATGTTCTTTATAAAAACCGAAAACCACCGAACGGAACAAATGTTATTGCCGCGTTCGGTCCGTGCGGAACACCCTGTACATACGTCGCGGCCCCCGAGGGACGCGGCCGCGGCGACGGCGACGGCGGCGACGAGCTACGCCGCGGCTGTCTACGTCCATTGATCGGATACGCGGCCGCGGCCGCCGCCGCCGCCGTATTTCATCAACGACGCAGCTGCCACTCGGCGGCGGCGGCGGCGGCGGCGAACAAGAAAACAGACCCGGGGTCTCGGCGGCGTGTTTCGCGTGCAGCCGTCCCGGCGACGACGAAGACGAATATAATGTATAAGTGTATAACGTGTAGGTAGATAGGTCGGGTGTGTACGTACACGTATTGTACATAATGCGCAGGCAGGTAAGGAAACGCAACTCGTACGCGGATATTACATATTATATTATAGAACGAGGTACACACACGACGATACGGTATAATAGCGCCCGTGTATTATATACGGGCACCTACAATAATAATACGACGCGCTCCCGTCCGTCGCGTACACCGCCGTTTCTTCGGCAAATAATAATAATAATAATAATAACGACGCGCCGCCGGGCCTCTCGGGCCGTATAATAAATCGTCACGACGCACGCGGGAATATCATCAAAATATTATACAGGTTAGGACACGCGGTTTGTGCGTGCGGCGGCGCATCCGTTCCCGGACGGGCCCCCCCCCCGCCCGTACGCCGTCGACGTCGAGGTCCCGCGACGGCACGAGTCTCCGGCGGTCTCGCGGGTCCCCGCCGCGGGAAACGCGTCGCCGCCGTGTTTCCGTTGAAACCGGTGCGCGCAACGCACGCGGTACACAGGCGTGACTTTTACGAGCGTCCGAATCCGTTCCCGGAGCCATCGGAACTTCGTGGCGGTGGGGAAATGGTGCGACGCGCGGGTCATGTTATCGAGTGTGATCCGTTGTGATTCGCCCCTTCGCGCGCCGCTCCCGCGTGTATCGTCGAGACGGGGTGCGGTACGCTCGGTTTGACCGTCTCGGAAAGTATCAGCCGTTTTGCGGAATCGGTTTTACGGAACATTCTGAGCGACCAGCGGCTCTACGGTTTCGCGCGCGCGCGCTATAATGGCGCGCATGTTAACGATTCCGCAAACACGCCAAGGACTGTCACAGTATTCGAACCGATTCCGGCCGTTGAAATTGTCGTGCGCGTACGGACGTTACGACACGTGGGATACCGAGAGACGACCCGCCGCCGTTCGTATTGGCGTTGAAAACGAACAGAGTACGATACGCTAATGGATCATTTTTGATAAAAAGCGTAATCAATTGCATTGATATTAACCGTACGCTTCGGTCGGCTACATCGAATTTGAACACATACATGTATACGCGTACGGATCTGACCGACCCGTGAATGCTTACGTTTCTATATTTATTTGATACATTTCTACCCGATTCGGATGAACAATCGACTAGGGTTTGTCGATGACCCACTCACGAAGCGAAGCGACACTCCATCGGACCGTGACCGAATCGAAAATATTATTTAAGACGCTCGGCAGGTACTGCCCTGTGATTTTACGTCAACCCCCGCGATCGTGCGCGATTTCTGTTTCTCGCTCGTTATTATTGTGTGCCGTGTATGGCGTGTATGCATACTCGTATAAAATACAACATAACGTCGCGCGTTATAATACGCCAGCCCGTTAAACGGCAGATGGCAAACGTGCAGGACGTATAAATTATCATAAACGTTTCATTTCCGACTTGGCGGTCGGGACGGGGGCGGGAAAGCTTTCGAAGTATAATATTTTTTACGTTTAACCGTTAGAAGACCCCTCGCGTTCATCAAAAACCGTTTGGTATATATAGGTACCGAAAAAAGTCGACCCGAACCTTTGCAACGAGAACTCGCACTGTTAATCGCGTACTTCCCTCTGCGTTTTCGGCTGCTATATTAAAAGGCGTTTCGCGTATTACTTCTGGAGTCAAATAAATTACCGAAATAGAATTACCTACCCGCTGCAGCGGCGCGCAATAAAGTTTTATAACACGCGTTTACCCGGCACGTTTTTATTTTATGCCATAATATAAAATGAAATATACGGATTTGTGCATTAGGGTCAGCGTTGGTATGCGTTGGTACAACAATTTTTCAGGTTGAAAAATATTTTTTGAGACATTTTTTTTTTTTACGCCCGTATAATAAAAAACTTAACGTAACAAACATGAATTTAAATAAAATAGATAATTTATAATTTTCGAATAATATACGAATCTCTTCACCATAAATACGATAAGTTTAAATACTGAGTGAGCTTTTATTAAGACTTCGGCGTGGACTGATGGAGCGTAGCACCGCCGCACAGGGTGAAACGTGTACAGTTCTTTGGACCAAGAAAGCCGAAATTAAAGTCCTTGAAATATGCAGGTGTTTAAAAACAACTCTGAGAATCTCACGGACAAAAATACGCTTAGTGAAATCAGTGAATTAGACATTTAATAAGGAATAATACTTGGGGAACGACAATAATCGAAGGAAAAATTTATGAAAAACAAAAAGGGGAACACTTTCAGGAGTGCCGTTCGTGAAGCGAATGATGGAAGACACCGGAATAAGCACATATTCAGCAATTCTTGAAAAACTGGCATTACGTTCAAAAACATTATGCCCTAATATTATTTTGTAGTCCTACAAATTCTAGTTTTGTAAAGATTTAAAATTAAAAATTATTTTAATAATCCGTAAGATCGGATTAGTCGTCGAATTTATACAGCCTCAAATAATTAACTGCGTGTACTACGTATATTGCATGAGGAATCCGTTTTGGAACGTTTTCCATTGTGGGGATATTTTGATCCTTAATAATATTTTTACAAAAATAAAAAATGACATTTTGCTCCTTAAAAAAAAAAAAATGATAATGACGGAACAAAAAAATCATATAGTCTCCTAGACGTGCTAAGGAGTATTAGATTAACGGGAGGAGTTAATTAAAATGCTTTTTTTTGACAAGAAAATGGTATCACATTGTGAATTAAAACTATCAAATATCGGTGATGGGGGACTGAGTTTAAACTCCATGAACTTCACATATTTTTGAGCATGTCCTTGGTGTAAGTTAGATGTATTTATGGGCCCAAGGCAATGAATTATTTAAAAAGGAAAAACTAGTCCACTGAGGGGAACAAAATGTCCCAATACCACGTAAAATATAAGTCGCAGAAAATAATGTCTAAAAATGCTCGGGAACGCCAAAACGAATGCACTGATATCACACTATCACTCTGTCGAGGAATTGACTTAAAATAACATTTTTTTTTTTTTTTAATTAACTCTTGAAACTTAATAATATAAATACATCAATATTGAAATTATATAGTTTAACAGTTTTAATACACGTTTCGATAGCATTGGAAATATACTCTTTAACACATTCTATCATCACTCGTTCAATCTATCGCGAATAAATTTCGGCAAGGGTTTTGCTTTAAATTCCTTTAGGTCTCTTGGTCGTTCTATCGGTTTCAAATTTGGAGACCATGTCTTGGGGCTGACTCCAAAGTTTAGGCTCGTTTGACTTCTGCGTAGAAATTTACCTGCAATACGATTTAGTGTTAAGAAATTATCGAAAGGGCTAATGAATAAATAATACACAGAGTTTTTTTTTATTTATTACGTTTAATAGGAAAGTCTTGAGGAACCTCATCTTGCCTACTGCAGCAACTCGACATTCCGTGTCTTTTTCTGTGAACTTTCGGTGAATTCGTAGTCGGCTGGGAAGACTCTGGGACTGGGGAAGTTTTTTCAACAGGTTGTTCATAAATGGGCGGTCTTATATCATGTTGTTGTGGCATTTCCGTTGGACTTGGCGGAGAACGGAATTGAGGTGGTTCCGGTATCGGGGGTATTTTCTTGTTTCCCTTGTAGAAATACAATTCCCAAGTGTTATGAGTAATTAGTTTGACGTGCTCCAAAACCAAATAGCTTTTTAGTCTCGGATCACCGAGATCATAGTGTATATGATAAAATGTGGACATAATATCGTCCAACATGTTGACGCCATATTCTCTCTGTGTTTTTGAAATATATTCTAATTCGTTATGGACAATTTCATAAAACGGTAGTATCCGAATGAAATCCCTGTCCTTGAAACAATTATCGTTGAATTCGTCGTCATCAAACTTAATCTTAAGTTTTGGCGCATTTTTATAGATTTCTTTCATCATCATTCGGGTATTTGGAGTGTCTGAATATGCCGGGGGAGTTACTTCTAAAGGGTTCGATGAAAATTTTAAATATTTTTCGGTTAACTTTCGAAAAGCCGCTTTTTTCTTTCGCAGTTCAGTTTTAGCTAACGATAAGTTAGCAAACGATTCAGCTATTAGAGTCGCGTCGCTCGTTACCTGGGTAATGTCCATAGTGCTTTTTGTGCTCTTGCGGGCAGAATCCAAATCTTTGACACAATTTTCACGGCATTCGTTGTTGTCCCGAGCGTTTATTCTCAGTTCTGGTTCGACCGGCGTTTTCGGCAGAGACTTCAAATCATTTTGTTTTCGTCGTGGCGTTCGTAGTGAGTCCGCAGTTTTTCGATAATATTCGTTTTGCAACAAATTATCTCTATAGTCATATGGTGATTCGGTATTACGTCCGGACTCGCAATGCGGCAAGATTGTGTCGTTTCCTGCGGTTTGGCGGATTATACAAACGTGTTCTGGCGTGCGATTCGATATTTTATCGCTTTCCTCAATATTATTCATAGGCATGGAAGAATACTTTTTACTTGTGGCTTCGACGAGTTTTTCTAACTGACGTTTACTATCAGATATTTTCTCGCATATTTGTTGTGTATTAAATTCGGAAGCGTAATTCTTTTTTTTTTCGGTACTTATACGCGTGACTGCTGGAGAAATATGTTTTTGTTGTGTTATTGATTTTGACTCGTGCTCACAAAATATCGGATCATGGCCGGCCGGTTGATGTTCACACGAATCTAATGGACCGCAGTCTTCTTTTTCAATTAGCGCCTGATTTAAATCGTTGAAATCGATGAAATTAGATTCGCGCAAGGATACCCATTTTTTAATTTTCCCTCCGTGAATATAAAACCTACATTCGTTCCAGAGTTGTTTGGTTCTTTCAGCTTTGCGCTTCCAGTTGACTGTTTTCATTACGTCTTTAGGATGTATATCTGGATGATATAAGCGATAAAACGTCTTACATACTTCTCGGGCTACTATTCTGGCGTACGGATTATTGGCGTCTTCCATCAGTCTTACAAACGGACTGAGTATCCGAATAGCATCGCGGAGTTCTTTCGGATCGTATCTTGGTTCTGGTATTTCTATTTCTTGTGGCTCGTTATCAGTAAAATATTCTTCTTGGATATTTTCGTTGACATTTCTACTATAGCTTGTTCGTTGCTGTTCAACCCTATTAGATTTTGAACTTCTTTCTCCAGTCCTCATCTTCTGTCCATGGGAAACTGATTTTTCGGAAGACGGCCTATGGCTCATATTTAATGAAATATATCTATATCGTGTTAAAAAATCGTTATAATACCGTTATAACAAGTATAGGCAATTTCTATATTGTATACTAGAAATTTAATTTTTGTTTAACCATTTGTTAATAAAATAAAAATGTAATTAAATTTTTAAAAGGGGTTTACGAATTCACGAACAATTTAGTTGATATTCATTCAGCGTGTTTATTTAATTTCATTAAACACAAAATAAAGCATAAATCTCGTAGTAACTATAGTACATATAAATAAAATTGTAAATAAAGTGTATTTTGTCCGTGTGTTTATCTGAAATAATCTCAGAAACGGCTAAATCGATTTCACTGTAAGGTAGAGTATAATATATTCTCGTGCGTGATGCAGGATACTTTTATCTCGAAATTCAACCACTTAAGAGTGGATATTGATTCATTAACAAAGTGTTACAGACAGACGGATCATGGTGTTTATATGTATGACGAGTTATCTTGGTCACACGGATATTTAATTTGCTTTTGACGGTCAAGGTAGTCCCTTTTTAAAAAGAGATTAAATATGTATGAGTTATAGAACATTATATTATAGTACTCAGTAACAGAAAATATAATTAAACTGTATCGGAAGAGCCTGGCCAGAACACTATTATTAATCTATATCAAATGACCGCTACAATAGATCACTATTTTAGCACAAATATATATTCGTTGTCGTCCAATACTGTACATGAACAAGAACATTCGGGACAATGAATTAAATAAAACAAAAATAAAATTATCTATTTACAACGTATATTCTGATTTATCAAATTACCATTCACAACTCAAGTCAAATTTAAAATTTGTAACTATGAATTATTGCCCGAAAATCAATTGATGGTAGTATAGAACTATACGACAAGTTAAATAATAATAATATACATTCGACAACAGACTATACTATGTACTGGAAATGGTGTATCTAGAGAGGAAATCTGATGGTAGAGAACACTCGAGAAATTAAACAATAAATAGTATTGGCAAAAAATGTTTTTAACAAAAAACATAGACAGTTTACTAAGAAATTGATACACTCAATACCAAAATGATGTTCATTAAAACATATAGATAGAGTGTCAGAAAATATAGAAGTGAAACACAGGTCACAAATGATGCGGAAAATAAAAATCTAAACGTTTGAGATGTGGTGGAAAGGATATTAGTTGGATAGAAAGAAAAATAAGTAAAGAAGTATTAAGAACTACAAAGGAGAAACAGATATTCATAGATGCGATTAAAGTCCGGCGTTTGAAAATGGTTGGACATGCGCTGAGATACCCAGAACTCAGAAGCGTTTAAATAATATGTTTATAAAAGTTATGGATGAAAGAAAACTGTTGGACGTTATTGAAACCCCTGCACAGAGTCATTCTAATTGCATTGTACAGTCAAATTGTCGATGAAATACTTGTTGATCGTTGGTTTCCGTCAACCCGTTGATGATATATTCCACTTTTAAGTCGGGGTGGAAGAAGGTGGTAGGACATCATTCGAGTAGTGGCACGGCACGCGACGTTTGAATATTTTTCAACTACTAATTTTCGTATTCTATCCGAATTCATAAGTAGCATATCTCGTTAACGTGTTGACGGAAATCAATAATTCCAATACAAAAATACAATTAACGTTTTAGAATATACGGTTCCGAAAAGTTTCTAAAAAGTCATTTTTTGAAAAAAAATATTAGTATTTTCATAGTAATTTCGACTGTAATTCGTGGAATTCGAATGTAAAAATAAAGTGACGCGGAGGTCAGACCTTTAGGAAGCTCGAAGAAAAAGCGAGCGATCAATCGGAACGGAGAATCGGAGTTCCAAACCGATATATAAATGTACTTAAAATCGACGCGATTATATTCATTATTGTTATTATTACACACGTTCACGACCTAACGGACCCAATCTGTCGTATTGAGCGGTACGCACGTAATATACAAAACCAAACGTTTCGGACATAACAGGTCGGCGCGGCGAATCCTGTTAGACGTTAGTGATCTCTCGTGATCATTATATTATATTAATAATATACAAACGCCACGCCGGTTTCGGTGGCGTCTGATGTGCGCAGGGGTATAATTACGAGACGAAAAAACCTACATCATATTATAGTCTACAGACGCAGCAGCAGCAGCAGCAGCAGCAGCAGCAGCTGACGGTTTTTGTTCCGACAGTCGAGGAAGTGGCACGAGTCTACTGACAAAAAAAAAAAAAGGACTAGGGGACAGGTGGCTAACACGGACGATCGACAGGTGGCCCCGACAGTTGGAACAGCTTTTAAATACCGACGACGACGACGCCTTGTACGGGGGAAAAAAAAAAAAACAACAAAATTTAAAATAAAATAAAAACAACGTGGTCACCTGCTCAACAAGTGGTCGTTTCGTCATGATGTGTATCGATAATAATAATAATATTATTATTATTATTATTATTATTTCAAACAGAAAACCGGTGCGTAAATTTTAATCGAACGTCCGCGCACGTGAGACGGGTCCGAAAAAAACCCGATCGCCGGGACGGCCCGCGCATAATCCGGACAACGGTTATCGGTTTTTATCGTTTTGACGCGTGCCCGGGCCCGGGTCAGCGAAACATCGATTATTACCGTGCGCGCGGCGGTTTGTGAACGTATCGCGCTGCCCGTGTGGCGGGGGGGGGGGGGGGGGGCGCGCCCGCGTCGTTCGCACTGCTGCGCGACGGCGACCGTCCGGGCCGTACGAGCGCGCGCCCGCGGCGTTTCGTAACGCGACCCGATCCGAAAAACGCGGACACGGGCGACGGAACCCGGTCCGACCGTCGCGACGCGACGCGTCCGCGTCACGCCGTTGCCGCGCGCGATACGAAACCTCCCGGTTCCCGGGCCCGGGCGCGCTAATGTCGCGATGACATCGCACGCTCCGCCGGCGGTAGGCGTCGCGCGACCGGCACCGTCGAGGAAATCGCGGTCCGCGCGGCGTACGATATTATAATATGTTATTATACACACGTTTAAACGCGACCCCTGTGTTACGCCGTTCCGGAGGGGCGCGAAAATATATAAAAAAAAAAAATAGAAAAGTCATTTGAATTTCCTCGTTTACACTGCGCGCCGTACCGTTTCGACAACGGCGACTGCCGCCGAGCCGCTACACTCGTTACAGCGGACCGCGTTATAATTTGTTCGTTCTTGTTTGATAACGTTTTGTTTGCGTGTTCGACCGTTGTGCGCGCGTACGAATAATTCAAACGCCGCCGTTATTTCGACGGAGCGCGTGATTCGCGCGGGGATACATCGTTAATGCCTAACCGATTGCGAGAGAGATACGCAATCAGATAAATAACAACGTTGTTAACGTTACTGTAAAGCGAATTTCTAACGCGTCCCCTAGGCAATTCTGTATAATATTATACTATAGTCGTTGTTTATTGATTATGCGTCTGGAAAACCGTCGATGAAATAAGAAGACAACGATTATAATAATAATAATAACGAAACGCGCTCGCCATGATGTCGGCGAGGCGATCATTTTACCGCGAACCGGCGGTTATCATCCGGCAAAGATTTCACGCGAACTTGGCGCCGGTGTATTTCGGACGTTACAGAACCGTTTGACGATCGCGTTTAAATGTCAATTGTCAATGAACCGTTGTTCGTCCGTTAAAAAATTAAAAAATACGCTATCTATTTTTAATCGGTTTTTATTTTTATTTTGTGTCTGATATTCGTATTAAAAGTGTATACCGCGTGCGGTAAAACGTCGTATGTATTTATATTTCATTCATTTTATTTTATCGTTTGATTTCCAGTGTAATGCACGTATGAAAATATAGTCACGACGGCGTTACGGAACATGTCCGACACATTTTCATTACCCGCTCAATCTAAATTAATGAATGCGTAAACAACTATACATTTTTGTCCGTAAAAATACGTCGAAAAGTGTGTTAGTCGAACGATATCGACAACGTTACATTGTTTCTTTTAAACTACAGTACATCCGTACACGCTGTATTGTGGAAACTTTCGTACGTGTACACAAGCCAGTGCACGAAAACAACATTATCGCCAAAACATTTTGTTTTATACATCGCGGAACTCAATGTTTCGGTTGATGGTTTTCGGGGTTATAATAGCCGTATGGAAAATGGGCGCGAAACCGACAGGGCTGCACTGCTGCAGCAGGATCACGCGGAATATTATAACGTAATATTATTCGCGGGATGTTCGACGGTCCAACGGTATGTGGCGCGTCGTCCGACTCGCTAGTCGCTATAATAACAGACTACAGATGTTCGGTGAAAATATAATATTATAAAGTAAGAAGAAAAATATTATGTGAAATATTTTATAACTAATAACCGAGCGTGTAATTTATGTTAAGTAAAAGCGACCGGTCGTCCTGTGCAGATGTTCGGATATTGCGATCCCGATCGAAACTAGAACGGCGCGTGCTACCATATTATACGGCGACGAGGACTCCCGTCGACGGAGGAGAATGAGATCGTAAAAATGTTCAATATAACCGTATAATATCGAACGTGTGTGCGTGTAAAAAAAAAAAAAAAAAAACGTGAAACGACTACACGTCGTTTTGTCATCGGACAAAATAATTTTGGGGCGAAGGAGACGATGATTGTCCGCATTGTGTATATCGAATATCAATACGTACCGCGGTCTTTGACGACGACCGCTGGCGGACGACGACAAAAAAAACCACGAGCAACAGAGCTCCGCAACTGGAGCCGAATTTTCTTTCAGCTGAATTGTTGCCCGTTACAATATTTCATGATTTTTTTTTTTTTTTTTTCTATATTGATAAGGAAGTTAACAAATAAAATGTGAAAAAGTGAAAAAGTCCTCGAAATTTTCGTTAACATACAAAAAACAGACGCAGACCCGTCTCTTGGTTACTAGCAAGCAATGTGTTGCTTTAGGACGGCTTCAAATTTTAAAGAAATTGAAGCGGTAAAATGAAATTATCCAAATCTAACGTAACCTT